GCTACCAGGCTGCAACACTTCCCCTCTGCCCAGGGAATGAATCAGGCAGGATTTAGGAGAGGAATGGAGAAAACAGTGTCCAACCTACCTATCCCGGACACACTGTCCCAGGCAATGTTCATGGCCAAGTGGGCCATTTTGGGCCCAACTCCTGGCAGCTGCACCAGCTCCTCCACAGTTCTTGGGATGTCGCCCCCATACTTCTGCTTCAGGATGGCTGTCGTCTGCTTTATGTACTTCACCTTGTTCTGGAAAACCAAGGGGAAAGGCAGAAAATCCGAGTTGCCCTCTAATACAGGGAAAAGAGAAAAACAGCTCAGAAAACAAACCATTCCTGAGCGTATGTTAGATGTGAGGCCACACACTGGAGTTTGCGGAGGGGAGACAGAGGTCTTTGATTTCTCCTTGAAAGCAAAATGCTGAGACCTGATTAGCTCTAACCTCCTCTGCACACTCCAGGCACTGCAGCAAACAACCTCGCTGTGCATACAAATTGCTAAAACTGGCGTAAAATACAGCCTGCAGCTTGACTCCAGGGGAAAGATCGCCACGGGGCAGGGCATGCAGGCTGAATACTGGCTGGGGCTGCGTCTCTCAGGAGCGGGGCTGGTTCATACCCACCTCCTGCCTTCATCACACTCTGTCAGCTCAGCGACTGGCCATGAGTACAGCCTGCAAAGGACACGCCTGCACCCGCCTTTTGCTCTTCTCCTGGGCCTCTGAGCTGTCTCAGCTGCATGGGAGCGGAGGACGGTGGAGGGGGTTCTTCTAGGCACATATCAGGTGCACTCACCCTCCAGAATCCTACAGGGTAAATGATCTGCCCAAGCGTCGCATCATCCATTTGCAAAATACTGTCGACCGTGAGGCCATGCTGCCTCAGACGCAGCATGGCAGCTGACGTCACCTGGTCCTTGGTTTGGCTGGAGAGCATCAGCGACAGCAGAACTTGGTAGCGCATAACCTGGGGAAAAGGAGACAGTGAGACACCCCAAGATCTCTGAGAGGATCTGGACGCCTCTGGGGCTTGGTTCTCCCACCCAGCACCTTCTTCAGTCCAGTGCATAACATGGGCCTACCCTGGTTCAGCCGTATCTGTCTACAAGAGACTGGATGGCTGCAACAGAAATAATCCGTAACCTTTTATTTCTACCACACAACAAAGGGAGAAAAGAAACACCTTTAGTCCAAGCTGTCAGCATGTGTAAAAGGGCAGAGAGCAGCTACTGTCTGCTGGAATCTCACATCCAAAGAAGCCAGTGCTTAGCCAGAAAGGGTCAGACAAAGCTTTTCCTGGTAATGGGATTCTCAGGAGACCCCACAGGACGTAGAAGTACAAACCCCCTACGATTTTTCATGCAACTTCTGCTCTAAAGCAGCTTTTGAAAATCCCATCCCTTTTCCACTAGGCTTCAGTAGGAACTGGGCTCCAGTGAGCTCCTTACAAAACCAAATCTAAAGAATTGGGAATGACAGAGACTGGGAGATGAAGCACAAAACCCCCAAGTTCCTCTGCTGCTGTCATGCAGGGTTTAGCCCAGACTGTTCACCTCCTGTTTTTCAGTTGATTTTTCCCCAGACGCGATTCTGTCCCCACCAGAACAAGGAGGAAGATGCAACTAACCTGGACTGACCCAGGATAACATGGGGTACAATCCTTCCTCCCGCTCTCTTTACCAACAAAGCTTACAAAACCACAGGTGCACCAGGAAAAACCGCTCAGTGCATGGAAGTAGGGCAATCTCTGAGTGTATGGAAATTGTGTGAGGAGCGCTGGTGTGTGCTGAGGGGTTATAACATCCACTTTTTCGTGGAAGCAACAACCCTGCTTCCTTAGGGAAGAAAAGTTATTCCCGTATCGTGCACCATGGTCCCCCTGGCCCTGCAGCTGCACTTGGTGCCAGCCCACACGGCTGCAGAGCATGTGAGGCTGTCTGAATCCAGAGTCAAAACTAACCATTTTCCCCAGGGATCCAAGCCCAAGGCACGATGCCAGCAATAAAGACAGCGTTACATGCGCTGAAGCTGTGCAGCTGCATCTCTGAGACCCCTCCCTCAGAGCCCGGCAGGTCGCCGTGGAGCACACAACTCCTGCTGCTCCACTGAGCCTGCCTGCGGGTTATCTCCACGTTCCCACACCAGCGCTGCGCACAGAGAGTGCGGCCCTGCAGCCCCAGATCCCAGCGCCACACCACGGCCTCGCTCAGCTTTGTTTTTTGTACTGATGCAAATGGCCCCCTTGGAGGGAGGTGTCATTTGGGGCCTTTGATTGTGTTCCCAGGCTTGGGGAGCACAGTGCCATCCCAGCATGGCCCTTCCTTTCAACCAGTATCCCCTTAAAAGTGGACCGCAAGAGGGGAGGAAGCCAGCCTACGCTTCTATGCTGCTCTGAAGAGCATAAAAGCAGCCTGGGAAGTTTTTTCTCAGCTCCCCTTGCCTCTTCTTCGCACTGTTTTTCCTCTGCATTACAGAGCCATCTTGCTGGATACTTTCCTTGGACTCCTACAGAGATTTTTAAGACAAAAGGGACATGCCTTCACACCCTGCCAGAAGACAGCACTGCCACAATACGCTTTCAGTGTTTTCACTCCCAAGTCCAAAATCATCCTAATTTTGCCACAGCTCCTAATCTTGGTTCAGCCTGCTAACTCCTCTGGCAGCAGTTTAAGCACAGGACATGGGCTTTTCACCGCTGTCTTCGCTAGTTGGTGTCTAATGCCCAGCATGGGCTGAATATGAGCAGAGAACATCTAGAAAACACCCACTGCCATTTCACAAGGACTGTCTGAAGCCAATGAGCCCGGTACCAGAGAGGCAGCATCTGCCTCTCCTCCTCTAGCAGGACGAATTGTTTCTCTCACATGCACACTTGTGCAGTAACCTCTTGTGGGACTGATCCCTGCCTAGAGTCCTGACACGCTGTGCATTTTTTTTTTTTATTCTGGAGATATCCAAAACGGAACATATCCAGGGGCAACATGACAACGAGGAAGGCCAGAGGGCTGAGGAAGCGAGGCTATATTTTCATGTGCCTGCCTGATGGAGCAGGGCAGCAGAGCATTGTTACCTGCGGAGGTGCGCTGCTATCATAACACTTCTCCACTCCCATCTCATCAACTGGAGCATCTCTGTTCCTCCTCATTTCCCGGATGCGCTCCAGCTGCTGCCGCCAGTCCCTTGGCTCCCAGCGTGGTCTCTGGGTCTCAGGCATCCCCTGCTCAGCACCATCCCCCTGCCCAGATTCATAGGCGATGGCAATGCTCTTCCTCCTCCTGCTGCGCCTTGGAATGCCGGCTGTGCCGTGGACCTGCCTCACTGCAAGAGATGGGAGAGAGATTTTGAGGCCTGAGGCCAGGGGAAAGAAGCCTTGGTCAGAGCCAGCGTCAGCCCCACGTGCTGGCAGCCACCCAGGGGGACCCTGATGAAGGCTGAGCTCATCTCCCCCATCGTCCCAACCCAGCAGCAACTCCTCACATCCACCCGGCCCTAACTGGAGCCTGCCGTGGGGTGAGGAATGACTGGGAATGACCTGGGAAACAGGTGACAATAGCTAGGGACACATCTCAGGCTAGGGGGCACGTGTCCCAAACACGCAGGAGGCTGCCGAAGGACAGGATGCA